CATTGCAACCCCCATTCCAGCTGGCATATCCCACTGGCTATTAGGCAGCAGTGCACATAGGATGCTGGATTAAGTGGATTACATTCTAGGTTCCTCTCTCTGCCTATACATTGTACTGGGAGCCCAAATGCTTCACTCTTTGTGGACTGCAGTGGTGTTCCAATGATTTTCCTAGGCACCCAAAAGATAGGCACTGTGAAGCTCAATGGCAAAGTCCCATAATAGTTTCTCTGTGTCTCAGATCCCTATCCATTAATGGGGAATAATAGCACTTCCCTTACCTCAGATAAGTATTCTAAGGGAAAATACATGACAGACTGTGAGGCACTCAAATACTATGGCAGTGGGGGAGGTCATAAAGTTCCTAAAAGAAGAGAGTTACTGTCAGTGAATGCTGCTGACCTTCATCTGAGGCTCTTCTACCCCTCCTTGCTGCACTGATACGTGTAGCTGCCTCTGCACCCCTAGAAATGGCTCCTGACCCCGCTTCCCTACGCTCACTGGGGCAGGAGAGCCGTCTGGTGCAGCGATTCATAATGGCGTTGCCAAGACGGCATCGGCTGACAGGAGTCTGATGTGGCCAAACAGCCTCTTTCTTTAAAGGAGCAGTAGGCTTTTTTTTTTTCCTTTGCTCAACAACTCTGGGGGGCTGGTGGGGAGCTTTTCCTCTTTTTTTTTTTTCTCAACAAAAATTGCTCAAAAAAAATTCTGATGTGGCTTTTCACATTTTTTTTCTGCCGCTGTTTTGGCCACCACTGATCTAATAGGTTTTTTTCATCACCAATATTTAGATTCACTAAAATTAAGACTGTTCATTCCTCATGTTTGACAGCCTATTGATGTCTGTATTGGATAAGGATCTGCTTACCAATGGCAAAGTCTCTCCTCTAATTTCTTGTGTTATGTACCTGTATAAAAAAATTACTTCTGTAGCTCTTTCCATCTTGGTACAAATATTAAAAGATACGTGAAATATCATGGATTATTATTCCTCACTTTCCATATGACAAAATTGTGGCTCACAGAGAGGCCAAAAGGTGTGCAGCAAGTTAGTGCAAAGCTGGAATTGAACTTTAGAGTTTCTGGACCCCATATTCCCTTCCTGTCACTTTGTCTAGAATTACTATAAATTCTTGACTGAAATAACCTTTATGATAAATCACCTTGTGGACACTTTTGTGCAGAGTAATTGATTGTTTTGTTGTTTCAATTGTTGGGTTTAGTGACTCACTAACTGATAGCATGGGGATAGTTTCACTTCATCCTGTTGTGAAAACAGTGATTAGCAAGTAGATGCTTGGGAGTTTCAGTCACTGAAAACCGGAACAAATTTTGTCCTTTGCTACTAGACTATCAATAGCAGTATGGGTGTAAGTGTGTTGTCTTTACCCAATCTCTTCAGTATTACAACAGTGGACGTATGTGATTCCGAAGTTTGTTTTTAGAGCTCCTTAATATCTAGGTTTAATTCACCTTTCAGTTGCACGTTATTTTCCTCTTGAAATTAATTAAAGAAGAATATGGGATACTAAGCATGAAGGCATTTAATTGAACTTATATTTTTAGCTTGTTAAGCAAAAATTACATGAAATCTAACGTCTTTTTCACTGTTGGGAATCAGACATTAATTTTAAAATAATGAGAGTTTAGTGCTTCTGAAAAATTACAGATAGACATTTGCAGGGAATAGTTCTCTATTTATCCACACAACAGTTACTGCAACAGTTCCAGCTTCCTGAATATTTCCTGTCCTGGAGGGACCATTACTGTTCAAAGTATTTCTAGATTATGTATTCTCATAGGTTCCATCCATGAAAAGGCATGAGTAGGTTCAGAAGTTACATTTCCAAGCTCATTTATTCTTTGGCTTGTCTGCAAAGACCAACAATAGTGGCGACATGGGCACCTGTCCACTAGAAAATAGATTGAGGTCATTTAATACAAGCCATGGAACAAGTATAAAAGCATAACATCTTTCAGTCATTACTAGTGTGAAACTGATTTGAATCAGCCTGTTAGGGAGAAAGGCTCTGTGAATATGGGACTTTAATAAAAGTAGAATTTTGAAGGTCATCTTCTGAACTGGCATTAGCTAAATGTGCTAGTCCCTCAACATGTGTACATTGAAAATGTAATAGAGCGAGATGGATTTGTAAAAGTTGTGTATTTCTGTTTGAAAGTCCTGCCTAGAACTTTGGAACAGCCAAAGTGGAGAATGGTCCACAAAGAATCCATCACAGTGTTATGGGAAAGCCTAATGCCTAGTGGGAGAGGAGGACCTGAATAAACTTCAGGCAGATACCCATCCACTTCACTCCACAATACAGGATCTTAGTGCATTCACCCAAGATTCTGGGATGAACTAGATGTGCATAGCAGAGGAAGTTGTGCCCTGTTGGATTCTTTAGCATTGCACTCATTCATCCTGCTTAAGCACAGTTGGTAGAAAAGGAGCTGTGCAAGCGGGCCATCAATGGAAGCTCCCTAGGGTATGTGATTTGATTTTGACACAAAAGATCTTTATCCACTGCTGTGACTTGACTCCAATGACATCTTTGTGCTGGTTCTGCTCAGATCTGTTCTTTCAGACATCACTAGCTTTCACTGGTGCCCATGCAATACAACCATTCTGTTCCACTTAATCAGTGGTTTTCAACCTTTTGTCATTTGTGGTTCCTTAAAAAATGTCAAATGAAGGTGCAGACCCCTTTGGAAATATTAGACATAGTCTGTAGACCTGCAGAGATCCACAGACCACGGGTTGAAAACCATTGTTCTTGATAACAACCACCTTTTGCAGATCCCTTAGACATAGCCTGCAGACTCCCAGAGGTTGCTGATCAAAGCTTGAAAACTACTGTACTAAATAATCTAGGTTTTCCCAGTAAACAGGATTGGGAGTCATTAATGATATCGTTAGTATTTCACCATTTTATTGTAGACTCTAGTTATAAAAATTAGCTCTTGGTTGTCAATTCACATGTTAGATGTTTTTCATAGGCTAAGAATAAATGTATTTCCTAACTAATTTATGTGCTTGTATTCAGGGGCTGCTTCCTGTTACCTTAAACCCTACCATACATTCAGATCCAACTGCTCTCACAACACAGAGTCCTTCTACATGTGAGCAAAGGGAAATTCTCAACTGGTTATTAGCAGTATCAGGACTTTGAGTCACAGATCTTCAGTTCTGATTTCATTCAGCATGGGACTTACTATCACTTAGTAGGACAACAAATCTGAGGATGAATACAGAAGTTCTGCCATTGGATTTGTGGTATATCTCATACCAGTAAGATAAATGCTAGCTCCAAGCAAGTATTAAAATATAAAAATTCCTAATAGTGACATCAAACAGTCAGTGAAGTAATAAATTCAGGAGAGCTGCCATAGCATCATCTGTATCATCTAACTTTTTTTTTTAAATGAGCTTTTCCATTTTTAGAGAAGTACAGCAACAAAATAGTTTATGGAGTCTGCTTCTCCTTTTAAGCCTCAGCCGTCCACCATCCAAAAGGAAAACAAACTCTGTAGGAAGCAGAGATGTTAGAGTTTAACCGATGAATTGGTAACCGATAAACTGATGGTTATCAGTTAAATTCTGCCCACCTGGGGAGCCGGCTCCTCCCACCCACCCTCTGCTGCAGGCTCTGCAGTTTAACTTGGAGCCAGTAGACTCCGTCCCGGTGTGCACTGGCTCCCAAGAAACCAGCCTCGCTTCAAAGAAGCTGGCTGCCCCTGCTGCGGGCTCTGCAGTTTAGGAGCTGGAAGGCTCCATCCTGGTACGCATCAGGTCTCAGCAGATTTTTAGCAGTTACACGGTTACGTTTTACAATTACTTTTTACGTAGTAGGAAGGTACAAGCACAGAATGCATGATGTAAAAACATAACACCTTAAGGCTACGTGTACACTGCAACACTATTTTGGGATAACAGAGTATCCTGAAATAGCTATCCCGCATCTTCACAGCAAGCCTATTATTTTGGGCTTGCTATTCTGACATCCCTGTAAACCTCATTCTACCATGGGTCTGGGATGTTTCGGAATAGAGCTTTACTTCTAAATTTGGCACTGTGAAGATAGTGCCAAATGCCGAAAAAAGCTATTTCAAAATAGCATTGAAATAAGATACCCAATTTGTGGAGGTCAAATTGCATATCTTATTTTGAGTTACAGTGCAGTGTTGATGCACCCTAACAGAACTGAGTCCAGGCCACAAAATTCAAGTCCCTTCAGTTCTGGGAATTTTAGATTGGATCCATCTCTCAGCTTCTTGCCTAAAAGACAAACATATGGGCTACATCTAGACTGGCATGATTTTCCGCAAATGCTTTTAACAGAAAACTTTTCCGTTAAAAGCATTTGCGGAAAAGAGCATCTAGATTGGCACGGATGCTTTTCCGCAAAAACACTTTTTGCGGAAAAGCGTCCGTACCAATCTAGACGCACTTTTCCACAAAAAAGCCCTGATCGCCATTTTCGCGATTGGGGCTTTTTTGCGCAAAACAAATCTGAGCTGTCTACACTGGCCCCTTTGCACAAAAGGACTTTTGCCCGAATGGGAGCAGCATAGTATTTCCGCAAGAAGCACTGATTTCAGACAGTAGGAAGTCAGTGTTCTTGCGGAAATTCAAGCGGCCAGTGTAGACAGCTGGCAAGTTTTTCCACAAAAGCAACTGCTTTTGCAGAAAAACTTGCCAGTCTAGACACAGCCATGAGGTTCCTTCCTTAGCTCTGCTTCTCCCTCTCTGAAGTGAAGGTGTTATGAACATGTGGCTATACTAAATGCTGTTTTTGTACCTTGAAGATTCTAACTGCCAACTGAATCTTCACTTTACTCCTGTAATCAGTGGCATAAATTGCCTGTTACTCTTTTGCCCAGAGCTGGCCTGTGCTTTCCCCCCTCCTTTTTCATGAGGAGATCTGGGTCATGCTGAAATGCTTCTACTCTGACGCCAGAGCTTCAGGATCATTATTCTAACCCCACCTCCCCTCATCTGATTGGACAGGGAGCTCTTCCAGTTACCTTTACTGTCTGAAAGTAGCTAGGGGAACTGCAGAAACTGTAGGAGTGTAATCTGTGGCTGAGGCTAACTGGAAAGAGTTCTGTCTAATCTGCCTGTGTCTGTGTAAAGGACTAATAGCAAGCCTTTGCTACATGCTGGCACGGCAAGGCAAACAGCATTGTCTGCCCAAGTTAGTGAAAGACCAGCTGGTGTTCGAAACAAGCACAAAGGGAGACCCGTCAAGTAGTGAGATGCAGGTAAATGTTTGTTTTCTGCCAGGGCTCGGGGCTGTTGTGTCTTTGCAATTATTGTTGACACAGCCAGAGACTGATTTGAAGAATGCTCATGATGATGACTGACTTATATGAATTACACTGGTTGATTCAAATGACTGTAAATGTGTGTGCACTGCTGGAGGTAATTTGCCAATGTGAAGGTGAAAGGAAAACTAGAAAGGTAGCTGAATTTAACGATGCTGGAGTGAGGCGGGAGAAAGGCCATGGATGTGATGAGACAATGTAAAGTTCCATGATCCTTCATCATGTTTGGAGCATCTGGAATGTTTGGGAAAATCGATGTTTTAAGCCAACCTGTTGCATTTGAATTACTCAAAAAGTTAACAATGCACTACAGCTTTTGTTAGTCTCTAAGGTGCTGCACGACTATTCATAATTTTTTAAGTCTTTTTCCAAGAAGAGGGAGAAAATAGTGTGTTCTGTTTTGTTTGTTTCCTGGTCATATGTGGAGTTTGTCAGTTTAGCAGTATAAACAAATAATTACACTATCAGAAAATGTGGTACTGTCTGTTAACAACCAAGGAGGTTTTAGAAAAATGATATTATATAGTGAGATTATATTTTATAAATGAAAACAATCCTTTAACAGTTCAGAACGTGCTGGAATGATATGACTATGATATATTAGATGAGCAGCAAGGTGGCTTTGTTTGTATACTCCTTTCAGTAACTGGTTTCAACTTTTATTACTCATTTTAAAGTCTTATTTTCTATCAAATCACAGGAATAATAATGGCCTTGAAATTTCTGTTCCTATTGTGCAGAAACCCATTAAAAAGATGCTCCTCTCAAAAATAACTTTCAATAGCAGCATGGTGCAACAATATTACAGGGATTGAGCAGTACTTAGTGGAAACAACAAATATTTCTTCATAACATTGTGGAAAACAATGCATACTAAGAGCTCCAAGTTAGTTTGTCCTTTGCAATTTTTTTTCTCACACTAGAAATGTTTTAAAAATAAACTACACAGAATTTCAAAATGTCAAAACAAAGTATTGAAATGCGAACTTTTAAAATGTCTTGGTACCTCTTTTTTAAAAAGAGATCCATTTTGGCTGTCATTTTGCATTAGTTGGAGTTTAGGCACAAATTATAACATGCAGCAGGCTAGATCCAGATATCTTTCTCATGCTGAGTAACACTTTAAATCCACCAGTGGCTTCACTAAGTAAGGGTATCAGAATCTGGCCCACAGTAGGCATAATTATACGTTGGGTTGGTATTGCCTCCTATTATTAAGATTGTCTGATGCCTCCTATTAGAAGACCCTGTCTTCATTTGCCAGATGTTTACCATTTAGGTTGAAATTTCCCATGGCTTATGTATTTTATTGTTTGTTTTTTTTTTAAACTTAATCCAAAACAGCTTCAGAGAAGGCGACTAGGGAAAATATTTTGTTTTGCACCTGTTAGAAAATTCTGACAGCTTTTTATTCGGACAGCTCTAGTGCTTTCTTGTGGGTTTTTTGTTTTTTTTTTGCTGTCCCTTATGAAAATCTGCCCAATTTGGCCAAGTTATAATTGCAGTTTTCTCTTACTCAGAGACTTTTTTAAATTTTTAGCAGCTAAAATCCCTGCAGAGTCCATCCTCACTGAGCATGCTCAAACCTCTCACAGCCAGCGTGGGGAAGAGACAGGGTGTGGGAAGGGGCCTTATAGAAATAATAGTATGTGACAATGTAATTTAACTAAATTCATAGGCTCCAGGGGGCCCAATTAAGGTTATGCAGGCAACTTTAATGCTGATATTTCCTAACTTAGGAGTGTTTGACTTTGCAAATAAGTATTAATTTAACAGAGTTTTCTTGACCAAGACCCAGATTTCTAATTTAAAGAGGTAGGGGGGGAGAAGACCTATTAACACAATGAAAACATTTCAGGCCTTTAAAATAATAGATATAAACCTTTCTCCTCCCCTCCCCCGCATTGATAAGCAGTGCTTTTATAAACTTTTCAATAATGTTTGAATTTAGTTACCAGTAAAGTTTGGCTGTTATAAACAATGAAGCTCTTCTGAAATTAATGAAATCATGTCAATTTATAGCTGTGTAAGATCTGAGCCTTTAAGGACAAGGCAAAAATACTGATTTCAATGCCTAGAATTGATTGTCATAGAAGGAAACCATACAATCAAGGGGGACCATACATCATCTCTGTCTGATGGCCTTCTTCAGTTTATCGGTGTTCTTTGCTTCATTTTTCATTATTATTTCCACAATAGAATCTGTAGAAATGTAAACTTTCATGATAATAGAGATACATTAGTTTCAATAGTACGTGAAAGATAAATTGCTTTGCATACTTCTTCTCCATTTCCTCCTGGCTGAGTTAGGGTGTGATGCAAAGTCCATTGAAAGGCTTCCATTGACTTCAGTGGGCTTTTGGAGCAGGCCTTTAAAATCTTTTAAATGCAAATTAGCCTCCAATGTGGAAAAAATAATAAAAGACTAGGAGGAAATGGGAAAAAAAAAAATGAAATTTCTTGGCTCTGTAAGGTAGCCACCATTAAGATTAATGTCCTCTCAAAATTACTGTTTTTGCTTCAGTGCATTTCTGTTTGTATCTCTGACATGACATTAAAATCATGGTAAGGTGTGCTATTAAAATTCATATGGAAACATAAAAGACAAAATTGAGTTGTAAAATTCTCACTAAGCCTACAAAGTGGGGTGGACAACTTTTCCTAACTTGCCTTATTATTATTTCATTATATTTTGCACCACAATTAAAAGATGTGGCATTTGGCTTCGCAGTACATCATCCAAATGCCGTGCAAAACTTGAACATGAGCGGGGCTCAGTTATAGCTCTTTGTACCAATTGTCCGGTTAAAAAGAAATGTAGGTCACCAAAAAAAAAAAAGTCACCCATTCATCCATGCCGCCTTTGTCGCTTTGGACAAATTTTCTAAATTTTAACGATCTGGAAATTCTGTCTAGAAAATATCAGAGTGACCTCTCGTAGGTGAGAGCAGGGAATGAGATCACTCAGTTCAGACATCTGTTCTTGTACTGCTTTAAAATCATGTCAGGAGGTATGAAATAATGCATATACTATAAAAATCTCATAGTTTCAGTATTTACAAGGTAAGTATTTTATTATGAAATCTGGATATGAGGTGGCTTTGCCTAGACCTTTAAAGACAGCGGAGCAAGCTAGTTTAGTTTAGTTTCCAAGATATATAGATACAATTTTGATTGAAAAAGATATTGATAAGAAAACAACCCAGATAAAATGATGAGAAAGGGATTAGAACAAAATAATTGATCTGGATGAGTTGGTCTCTTGATGGGAAAGGGTATCTACATCTTCAGTTTCTGTAGCTCATAAAGAAAATGTTTAGAAACTACTGTACAGTTATTGCCTGTGCGTTGGACTCCAGGTAAGATCTGTCAGATTTTTGCTACTATGCAGGTGCTGTGTTTGAGGTTTTGTGGAGAAAGGTGAATATGTTTGCATATGTGGTGGTTCAGGAATAAGACAGACAGTTGTTGGAAGAAATTATTAAAGAGATTCATCTTGTGACAAAATGCTGGCTTTCTAGGGATCTCTGACCTGCTTACCTAAAGCTCCAGGAAAGTGTCTACATGTTAATCTGAATGACAGAGTAATTCTATTTTTCCTTTTTTATATCAGCTAGACTGTGTTTTGCACATTTCAAAGATGATAAAAGGTTTAGAAAACCAGATCCATGAGGAAAGGTTAAAAGACAAGTCATATTTAATCTTGAGAAAACAAGACTGAGGAGAGATCTGATAACAGTCCTCAAATATGTTAAGAGTTGTTATACAGAGAATGGCAATCAATTATTCTCCATGTCCACTCAGTAGTACTTGGCTCAATCTGCAGCAAGCAAGATTTAGATTAGAAAGTAGGGGAAATTTTCTAACTACAAGGATAGTTAAACTCTCGGATAGCTTTACAGTGGAGGCTGTAGTGGAACTTTTGAAGAGTAGGTTAGACAAGCACTTATCACAGAGAGTCTAAGTGTACTTAGTCCTGCCTCAATTTGGGGCTGGACCAAATGACCCTTTGAGGTCCCTTTCACCCCTTTATTCCCATTATTATTGGAAATGTGTGACCCATCCTCCAGCGGAACTGTGTAAGACCATGTATATGGTATTATGTAACTGATACCTCATTTTTCTCTCATACACAAATATGGTTCACTTGACCACATTCATTTCACTGTTGCAGATTTGTAATATTAAATTGATTTAAAATGTGAGTTCCTCCACTCCACATCATTGAAAGGACTACCATTGAATGACACTACTAAGATGAGGAAACTTAGCCATTGTGTTATACACCAAGAAATGTTAACTGTCATGTAATTTTGTTGTATTTACTAACTTGAAAATAATTTAGGCATAATCTGTGAAAACTTGAAAAGAGAATGGGTGTGTGTTCTAGTATATATTACACACACAAAAACCACACTAAAATATTATTAAGGTGGCAAAGTCAAGCACTCAGAAGTTAAGAAATGGCAGAATTAAGGTTATCTGTGCAATGGCCTGGGTAATAGAGAGAGTATCAAGCCACAAAATTCAGATCAGAAACTCTTGATGCCTCCAGAATTTAGTGGTTTGGGATCCAGAATTTTGGTTTTGCCCATCCATTTTAAGCATGACTGCTATCCAAGTTTGTGGTGTTCATCTGAAGGATTTTGATTCAGTGTTAGTGCTGTGGATAAATATGTTGCTGTTTGAAATGCTTCTAACCAGAATGACCCTATTTAAGAATGTATTTTGCAAAGCAACAGGAGTTAAAGATTCTATGGTGCTTTGTACATAATTGACAACATCCCCCTGAACAAACAGGGGTTCTGAGACACAACTCATTTCTCAATTTTCCAAACTGCTCTCATTGGCTCTCCAGATTTGTAAATCTTTTAAGGAAACAATATCACCAGTTCCCATTTGGTCTAATAAGGAGACTCATCCAGATCATGGTATGT